GGAAACACACGCTCTCTCTCTCTCACACACACACACACACACACATGTACACATGCAAGCAGGCACACACATGCCCTTCCCTATCTTTCCTACCTTCCTACTCACCCCCTCAAGCTCCTAATAGCTATAATACTATCAGGCAGATTGTATATCTTTTCATCTTTATTACTGAATTCCTTGTAGGAGCCTTAGAATTTAGGATGGAATTTAGAGGTCTGTAATCCATCAACTGCTTCAACCTGAACTATACCCTAAGGGCAGGAATTATGACTCCATCTCCCAGTGGATTTCCGAGTAGGATCCAGATGAGGACTGAGCTAATCTGGGACACTTACATCATTAGGGATGAAGGAGTGTGAGGTTCAGAGTTTCATTGACTCTTGATCTCTTCCTCCCCCAAAGTAGTATTGGCTATTTGGAGATCTTCAGAGAGGAGATACGGATGTATTTCTTCAGAAATACATCTGCCCCTGTCCTTACTGTTTTCAAATGTTTCTGCTTCTTCTCTTCCCTTTAGTTTTCACCTGGGGTGAATGGGTGTTCCACCACTCTCCTGCCCTCTTTCCTCCACAAGAGCACCAGAACCGTATCCAGCACCACGGACAGCTCCCAGGCGATGAATGAGGTGGCTGTGCTGACCCCCTATGCAGGGGTTAGGAGGGGATCCTGTCTGCACGGTTATATATCAAAGACTAGAATTTTAATCTTTGGGAGTTGTTTGCAGGCAGTCGTTAAGTCTCAGGGAGAGGAAGAGGCTGAGGGCAGTTGTCATTCCACCTCCAGGAGATTGGGTTTGTACACTTTGGAGAGTCTGAATGAGAGGGCTCCAGCAGCAGGAAGGTTGAGGGTTAAATTTCTGGAAGAATTTAAGCTAAGCTCATACAAGATTCAGGCTCCCCCCTGGTGACTGTGGCACAGAGGTAAAGAACCCAGCTGCCAGTGCAGGAGACACTGGAGACCCTGGTAGGATCCCTGGGTCACGAAGATGCTCTGGAGGAGGAAATGGCAACCCACCCCAGTATTCTTGCCTGGGAAATCCCATGGACAGAGGAGCCTGGTGGGCTACAGTCCATGGGGTNACCCCAGTATTCTTGCCTGGGAAATCCCATGGACAGAGGAGCCTGGTGGGCTACAGTCCATGGGGTTGCAAAAGAGTCAGATATCACTGAGCAATGAAACAATAACCACATGTAAGAAACAGAGTGTGTGGAGCCTCAGGTGAGCCTCATGTGGAGCCTTAGATGGTGTCAACTCTGTATCCCTCGTTCTACAGATTCACAAGAGAGTGGAAGAGATGACCAAGGTCACTCAGCTGGTTAGTGGAAAGGCCAAAATCCAGGCTCCTGTTTTCCATCCTGGCCCTGTTTATTGTATCTGATACCTCTTTAAGGACTCTACCTGCTTGAGTTGGGTAGATCAGGCCTATTGCAGGTAGGTAGAGTTCACCAACTGTCCCCATACAAAAAAGGACAGGATGCATGTCCGGGCATTTAAGGTGTCCACACAAGCCAGGAAGAGATGGAATTGACTGTTCTCTGTCTGAGTAGGCTTGAAAGGGAGGCCTCAGGGAGAAGCACAGGGGAAGGTATACCTAGCAGTAGCTGATAAGCCCATGGGAGAAAAGGCAACGAGGCAACCATCTGCCAGGGCAAAGAGGGCAGTGGATGGCCACAAGGAGTCTCCAGAGGCCAGCAAGAGTCACACAAACTGGAACGGGGCCTGGGAAAGGCCCTTCTGTGTGCCCAGTCCTGCTCCCCCAACACCGAACGCCTAGAAACAAAGGGGCCATTCTCTCTAGGATTTGATGCCGCCATCTCCGGCTGGCAGTGCCAGGTGGTGGGGGCATCAGGGGGTGTCAACCCATTATCCCCCCGAACTCTCTAGGTCCTCTGGGGCTGGATGTTGGGAAGGTGGGTGTTCCATGCTATGTTGCCGTGGCAACCACCCCAACCCCCACCTTCCAAAGCACAAAGAGAGACAGCTTGCACCCCCCACCCCCAGGAAGAACCTGGGTCTGGTTGGGAATCTTCCCTTGGGAATCCTCCTTTCTGATGCACAAGCCATGGTGTGTATAAGCATCACCCTCTTTTCAGCTGAAGGTTCAGCCATCAGCAGACCATATAGCCAGGGAGGCTGGTATATCCAGAGTCTTTGGGCAAAGTTGTGTAAGAGAATCCCTTGCACTTGACCCTCTCTCCCTCCAAGCTCTCCCGTCCCTCACCTATAGCCAAGGCCATCCTAGGCCTTCTCAGCTGAAGCGACAGGGCCTTGACCTTCTTCTCTTTCCCAGAAGTGAAGGACACCTCACTATTCCCAGCAAGCCCCCAGGCTGTGGGAACGGAGAAGAGGGGGTCATTCCTGCCACCTTCCATCTGCACCCTCCGCCATTACTCATTAGGCATTCTGCCCCTCCTTCCGCTCGTTAAGCCTGATTTGCATATATTTGCATAATACAACACATTTGCATTCCAGGAGGCTCTTGGTAGGAGCCAGGAGAAAAGGGGAGGGGGGCCGGAGAAGAGAAAAAAGGGGAGAGATTTTGTTTTCATCAAAGTATGTGTGTTGGGGAGGGGGAGGTGACAGGAAGAAGACCGAAATAAAAACTCACACTACTTTCTTTCTTCCTTTCTGCTCTCCCTCCCTGAGCTGGCCTCAAATGCCAAAAAGAGATGCCAAGGGGCCGGCTTTTCTGTCCTTTTTTTTTGTCTTGCTTCCTCCGGCCTTGGCTCCCCAGCCTGGCCCCCCACCTTGTTGGGCTCAGGCTTCAGAAAGAAAGGGGCAGGGGTAGGAAGCAAGGCTGTGGGAACGGAAGAGAGAGGCCACCATCTTAGGTAGCCGGAACCTATAAAATGGCTGCCTCCGACAGGTGTGGGCTGAGAGCCAGCCCTGGCTGGTGGGCATGCAGGGAGGTGAGACCACAAGAAGGACTTTCTGGCTGACCAGGAACATTGTTGAGTCTTCCTACTAGTGGAATTGGGAAAAGAGGATGGGGAGAGAAGGAAGGAGGGCTAGATGAGGGATGGCAGCCCAGAAGAGACTTGAGCTTCACACAGGATCAGGGGTGGTAGAGAGGTCTCTGTGCTGAGTTTAGTTCCAGACCACTAATGAGTGTCAGTGGACTTGGAGGACTACAAATAATTAAAAAAAAAAAAAACTGGAGGAATTAGAACTGGGAGTATCAGCAGGAGGGGGAAGGGGCAAAGATGTGGGCAGGCAGGATAGTCTGTCAGTTTGAGGGGCTGCTGTGTACTTGAGATGAAGTTCCAAGTCTTCTCTCCTCAGCCCATCAATCTGGCTTCCACCTTGATGACTGGTCATACCTGTACCTTGTCCAGCCACTCATATAGACTCTTCAACCAGACCCAATGGTCCTTGTTTAAGCCTGGTGACCTCTGGGGAACATTTCATACTGATGTCTTATCCTTTTGCCTTTGGCTCTTCTGTTGTATCCCTGATACGTGTTCTGGTTTCTAGTCATTCAATCCTCTGGGTAGATCAAGTCTCCAACCAGAAGTGTCTCCTAAGATTTTGCTCAGTTTATTTTTCCTTTCCACTCACATCCTTTTACTTTTTATCATTTCAACCATCATTTGGAATTATTAACACTCATTTCTTTAAACTCAAGATTTGTACCCTAACTACCAGCTGTGGTCCTATCACTAGGCTCCTAGATCAGACTGGAGTGATGCATCTGATTGGCTAATCCTGGATCACATGACCAGGCCCTGGTTGCAAAGAAACCTGGGAAAGTTGTTCAGTCACTCAAGTCATGTCTGACTCTTTGTGACCCCATGGACTGCAGCACACCAGGCTTCCCTATCCTTCACTAACTCCCGGAGTTTGTGCAAACTCATGTCCATTGAGTCGATGATGCCATACAACCATTTCATCCTTTGGTTTCTGTAGTGGCACATGAGTACAACCTCCCTCCAAAACTCCTGAGATGGCCATTCCTCGGACATAGGGAGGGCATTCAGATGTTCATTCACTCAGTATTGTGCTTTAAGACTTGCCCCACGTTCCTACTCCCCCCCCCCCCCCCCCCCATCAAGAGCATTGTTAAATTTCTAGGTCCTCAGGTACAAATCCTGAGCATTATCCTGGGATTTGCCCTCTTCCTTGCCCTTCACCCAGATCATTCACATCGGAACCCATCCCTTCGTCCTTTGTAGTGCTTCTCACATCCATGCCTTCTTTTCCCTTACCTGTCAGCTCATTCATTCAACAGGCATTTATTGGGTGTCTACTGTGTGCCAAGTGCTATGTTGAAGAGAAGGTGGAATACAAAGCCACTTTGAGGACCTAGACACCTAGGGAGGAGGCAGACATGAGTGATTACAAGACAGTATGAAGGCTGAGGTTCCAGAAGACCTTTGCATGGGGACAGCATGAGCTGAAGCCCTGGGATACCTTAGGGGAGTTGAGGAAGGCTTCCTGAAGTTCGCCAAAAGATAAGTAATCAAATAAAAGGGATAAATGTGATCAAAGGTAAGCAGGGGGCTAACAGTCTAAGGAGCTGGAGTAAGTGCCTAGTGGGGAGTGGGTAGCATATGTAAAGGCAAGAAGGTATGGAAGAGCAGGTCATATCAGGTCACCATAGTGTCCATCAGAGGGAGTCTGGACTGGGAGGAGATGGGAAATGGAGTCAGAAATCCAGTTATTAGGAGACTTCTGTGCTTCACCAGGGCAATTGGATTTGATAGGGGTACTGGGAAGTTAGCTGACAGCCTCAGAGATGCTGGGTGTAGAGTATGGCTCAGGGGCAGCACATAACCACCCGCAGCATGCAGGGGGATTCCTGAATCTAGCCGCCCACTGAGCCTGGCACCAACCAGATATTTAACTGCCTCTTGGCTGGTACTGAACAAATGGAGGATCAGGAAAGGAGAGTGTCACCTGAAGAAGGGTCTCTGCCTCTCCCTCATCTAGAATCACCCTCACTCCTCTCAGCCACACACACCTGCAGACTCAGGAAGCTCCCTGGGAGGACATGTGGGAGGGTGAAGGGTGGCGTCAAGCTTTAATCAAGTCCTAGAAGAAACAGAAGCCAAGACTTGGCCAGGGAGGCCATTCCCAGAACAGGCTGCTCTCCACACCAAGGCCCTGCCCCAGCTCCCTTTCCATGTCTTTCCAGGTGTGACTGCAGGCCTGTCCAGCCTGCCTTCCCCAACGGTACACGCCCTCCCACAGTGCCTCTGAGGCTGGTCCCCCAGAGCCTCTTTTTTTTTTTCCTCGGAGAGTCCCCTCCGGCTCTGTATGGAGCTACCCCCCTAGAGACGGCTGTGTTGGCAGGGCGGAAATTCAAGACTGACCAGAGCTCAAAAGAAATCTAAGGTCCCTTCAGTCTCCAAACCCAGGGGGTTTTCTCTCCTTGCCGGGCCTCAGTCAGCAGTGTGGGTCAGACCTCCCCTACCTCCAACCCCCATTGTGTACACTCTCCTAGCTAATAAAAGTCTGGACTGGGGGCATTGGAAGTGGTAGAATGATAGAAGACACATCTCAGTTTATAGATTGCTCACAGATTTGGTAGAGCCTCCATCCACAGGAAGAACAGCAAAAGAAGGAGGTTTTGGATTTTGACTCTGGAGACAGGCTGGTCAAGAGACAAATTCTGTCTTCCCTCCCTTCCTAGCCGTGTGCATGCATGCCCACGGACTGTAGCCTGCCAGGATCCTCTGTCCATGGAATTCTCCAGGCAAGAATACTGAGAATACTGTTGCCATTCCCTTCTCCAGGGACCTTCCTGACCCAGGGATTGAACTTGCCTCTCCTGCTTCTCCTGTATTGGCAGGCAGATTCTTTACCAGTGAGCCCCCTGGGAAGCCCTACTAGGTGCGTGGCCTTAGGCAAGTAACTTAATGTCCTGGATCCTAGTTTCCTTCCACCGTTATCCTGAGGATCAAATGGATCAGTGTGGATGGAGGTGTTTTACAAGACTGTGTGCAGATGTCCAGTGTCCCTTCTAAATGACACAGGGGGACTGAGGGACACAGAGTTACAGGGGCCACTACAGACAGGTGGGGCAATCAAGGAAGGCCTCCAAAGTTTGGAAATGAGGGAGTGGATTGCTGGGGAGATGAGCAAAGGTACTCTGGTCTGTCTGGGAGGCATGGCCAGGCTTTGTGGACTGGCTGGTACTCTCTGGTCTCAAGTGGGCCAGCATCTTGCTGAGACTGGTTTGGGAGGCATTTGTTTTTTAACAACTAGGTGGCAAAATGGACTCCATGGCCACAGCTTCTTTCATCCTTCTCAGGAAGAATTTCCCACTGGCCCTGTGTGGACACTGTCCAGCACTTCTGGGAAGAGAGGGAGGGCAAAGTGAAGCCTGATTTCCCCATGTTGCCCTGATCTGCTCTGTTCCCTCATCTCAGAGTTCACCAGAGGGAACATTAGCCAGACACTGTGGCCCACCCCCCGCAACACACACACTGAATGTGTACAAAATGGTACCTCCAAGCCCCACCACTTTGGACCCTCCCAAGTCCCTGATTTTATGGTTCCTTATCAATGTCAGGAATGTGCTAAATTCAGACCAATTTAGATCTCTTGGCCTGTGGACCAGGGAGACTTTGAACAGGAGGGTCTTTTGTCTCTGAGCAGTCATCCCTTGTTGTACACAAGCAAGAGTCAGGAGAGGGAATGATTTTGGCATCATCCCCCACAGATAGCACTGGAGTCTTTCTGCCTGGAGGGAAGGGCCAGGCTGAGGCTGGCATATGGAGGGAGAGCCCTGGGCACAGGGGGCATGAGCGTCACCCAGCTGGGGCTACCTTCTGCCGGGTTTGTCCATCCGGCACCAGCTGGCTTCCCAGCACTGCCCCCGCAACCAACCAGACTCCTTCTTCTGCTGTTACCATGGCAATTGGCTGCCATCTTGTACTCGGGGCACGATCTCATATCCGGATTTTCCCATGGGGTTCCTGGAGGATGGGAGATAGTTCTCAGGGGATTTATCCTTCCTCCTAATATCCACCCAATAAAAATTCATATTAATGTATGATTTTTTTAAAAAATGGAGGCTTACTATATGTCAGGCTCTGCTAAATACTCCCTGTGTTATTTAATATGTGAGGTAAATGAGGTTAATGAGGTAAAATTTAAGAGAGAACCACTCAGGTTCCTGTTTCTGTGACAGACTTCTCTCTCCAACTAGGAAATTCCATGATCTTGCTTATTCCTGTCTTGGAAAGTCCTTTCCAATGTCTAACCAAGATCTGTACTGCTGAAGTACCAGTTCTTTGACCTTTGGCTTGACATGGCTAATTTGAGAGGTAAGGAAGGAACCACCTCCCGGTTTCAGCCACGTTATTGAGCTTCCTGGGCTCCAGCTGTTGGGATAGGAGAACTGAGACTTGGATAGATTGGTGAGAGGCTCAAGTGCCCCTTAAAGACTTGGAGGTCCCAAGTCTCAAACTTTTATTTAGAGAAGTAGAGTCAGTGTCACAAAATGCTTTGTAATTTCTCTTCCTTGTCCCCTTCCCCACCCAAGAAAGATGCAGGAGCAGGAGACCATTGGAAAGTAATGGTCTCCTAGGCTCCTCCATCCAGTCACAGGGGAGGTTTCATCCAACAGGGTCCCCAAGAGATCCTGGGATGGTGAGACTTCTCTCCCTCTGGAGCTCAAGCAGAGGCCGAGAATGGTCATCCTGAGATAGAGGGGCACCTCTGAGGGGCATCGAACAGGAGCCAGCTTTGCAGGGGAATCATGAATGAGGAGCAGGTGGAGAGAGAAAGGAGGCCATTCTCAACTGAAGAAGGGTGGGCTGACGGGGAGGGCCTAGGGATAATTTATGATATCATTGTTCCCCGCCCCACTTTCCCAGCCCCCACCCTCTTCCCAGCCCCCTGCTACTGTACGGTTGCTAGGAGATGCTCCCTCTGTCTGGAGCTGGGAGGGTGTAACAGGCGGAGACTGTTCCGTCTGGACCCCTCCCCCGCCACCCAGGGGAGGGCCCCACACTGAGCTTCATCTACCACCCCTTCACAGGCCACAGCAGACACCAGTCTCCTCTTGTTCCCCCAAATCCAGCCAGCCTGGGGCTATCAGTGTTCCCAGACAGGCCAAGGATCTGGGGCAAGGAAGGTCAAAGGGAGCTGAGGAGGGACGTAGTGGGGACACTGAGGAGCAGCTGGCTTACCTCGGGGCCTCTGGGAGCCAGCCCAGGCTGGGCAGAGGACCAAGAGGGGTCAGGGACATGGGCCTCAAGGAGCCCAGGCTTGAGGGAGACTGAGTCTTTACCTCTAGGGAGCTTCCATTATGATGGGTGAGGCAGCCCTCCCATCCCCACCCCTCTGACACATCAAGGTTGGGGACCTGGCAAAGGTGGGTTGCGGGCGGGGCAGGAGAAGGGGGCAGTGGAGTAGGGAGGCAAGAATTGCAAGTCTAGGTGGGAGCAAGGTGACACTGATCTGAGCAGAGCTGGGCAATGCACGGATGTGGCCCAGATACCCTCCTCTTTCTGAAATTCTCTTCTCAGACTTTAAAGCCCTTGGAGAAGTCTCATGAGGTGAATTTGGGGGGGCTCCCAATTCCAGGTGGGTCAGGAAAGGAATGCTGTGCCCACAACTGTGCTTCTGATGCCTGATTTCTGTGTTCAGTTCAGTCGCTTAGTCGTGTCCGATACTTTTGACCTCATGGACTGTAGCACGCCAGGTGTCCCTGTCCTTCACCATCTCCTGGAGTTCAAACTCATCTCCATTGAGTCAGTGATGCCATCCAACCATCCCGTCCTCTGTTGTCCCTTTCTCCTCCTGCCCTCAATCCTTCCCAGCACCAGATTTCTGTGTAACCCCTCTTGATTTTATTCTTTCCTAGGTACAGCTTCCCACTACCCAGGAAGGAAGGAATTGGCCTTGATTTTGGCAACCTCCTGCTTGTGTAAGCCCTTTCTTAGCCATTGTCTCAGGTGATCACACAATGGTCCTGAAAAATTAGTGGTGCTGTCCCCACTTTACAAAGGCATAATCGGAGCCCCAAGTCGAAGGACTAGGAAGTTGGATTGGGCATCAAATGGGGCTTGGTGGATTCCAGAGCACATGCTGTCTCCCTCCCCTGTGCCGACTTCCTGCAGCACATGTTCCAAACGTAGGCAGAGGGGCTGAAAGGAGAAGAGGACCAGATGGGCAGGGGGACTTCTCTGCATGTTCTCAGGGGAGGAAGGCCACTCCTTCTCAGGTGCAGGAGTGAAGTCTGAGGAGTGCTCAAACAGTCCTTGCAGGTTGAAGATGTGGCTGGGCAAGAAGCCACAGGAGCTGTAGAAGTCAACAAAATCTTTTCAGGTTAGTCCCTGACCAAGGAAATATGCTTTCCGTTTTCCTGAAGCCAGTCCCCTGGGCTGCCACCTAGCCTCTCCCTGCTGGGGATCAGAATTCCTGCCCTGGGCATTCCCCTCCCACTCCCCCACCATGGCCCTGGATAGAACACCTAGAAGAGATGCCTAGACTCAGCCACTGTCATGGTGGCCCCCTTTTTCATGGAGCCCACCCTGGTCTTTCGCTTTTCCTGGCCACTGGACAGTTGCCCTCTGTCTCCTGCTAAGGTTTCCATCCCCCCAAATAACCTTTTTCAATCTTGGCTTTTTTTTTTTTTTCTTTTCAGACCAAAAAGAAAAACCTACTTCATCCAGTTGGCTTGGGTGCCCTGTGAGAAGCCTTCCTGATTGACTGAAAGATGAGGCTAAGTTCTAGCAAGTTTAGTGACTCCTTCAAGAAGCCTGTGTGCAGGATGGAAGTGGAGAGGCCATAGCCTCCAGCCTGGGCAGCCCATTGGCACCTGGAGCCACCTTAACTTTGCCTCCCCTTTGCTCCTGTGTCTACAGGCTGTCCATCCCAGCCCACCCTGGTTTCTCCTGTGTCTTCTGAACTGAGATTTCTCTGAGATGGAGGTCCCATCTCAAGTCTAATAAAGACTCTTGATTACTGAACATTACTGGTGTTGGTGGATGTCCCTGGGCAGGGGAGGGGCTGAATGGGAGGAGAGTGGTACCAGGCTCCCTCTGAGACACGGGTCCCCTATCTCTGGGATGTAAGGCCTGATGGTCTGAGGTGGAGCTGATGGAACCATAATAGAAATAAAGTACACAGAACTAAATGTAATGCTCTTGAATCATCTCAAAACCAGCCACCCACTCAGGTCCATGGAAAAATTGTTTTTCATAAAACCGGTCCCCAGTGTTAAAAAGGCTAGGGATCCCTGCTCTGAGAGACCAGTGCTGTAGAAGTCACCGCGGCAACAAAATGCGGAAGCCTCACTAAGACAGACTTCCACCTGAGCAGGGTGGGCTGGGTGCAGGTGGTCTGCTGCCCCCTCTCTGAGCCGCCCAGGCTTCTGGGAACACCGTCCATGATCTGCTTAGTCCCAGCTCAGAGCAGTGGGCTGATGTTCCCAGCCAAGGAGGCCCCTAGGTGCCATCCCAAGAACCAAGAGAAGGAGAGAGGAGGGGGATGCTCCCTGGAGGGCCTGTGTGGGAGGTCACGGGGTGGCCCTCTGTCTTGGCCGCGATGGGACACATCCTTAAAATGTTCTCCAGGGTTTGAACAGACCAGAGAGAAAGAGCACCCCTGCGTCACAGGGTCACCCACTCCCGCTTCCTCTCTGTGCACCCTGAGTAGAGACAGAATGGGATGGATATGCCTAACAAGAAGGATTCAGGCTAGACAGCAGGTAGGACTTCCCAGCAACACCCCAGAGGGAACCTGAGGGAGTAGGGGAAACACGGCAAGAAGGACCTGTGCGGTTGGTCTCATTTCCCCCATGACACACCTGTGTAAAACATGCTCCCCCAAAGATAGGCCCCCTGGAAAGTGTTAGCAGAGTCCAGAGTGCCAGCTCCTTTTAAGCATTCTACCACTCCCTAAAAAGTCCTTCCTCCCATCTAACAATCCCTTCATGGAACTATAGCTTGAATCCTGGAATTTTTCTTTTTTTTAAATCCTGGAATTTTTCTAAATAAAAAGACTTAAGATAATACACATGGTACAGTTTCAACAGCACAAAGGGAAAGTATGCCTCTTTCCCTCCCCTGTTCACAGCCACCCAGCTCCTCTCCCAAAAAGCAGCCACTGGTGCCTGCGTCCTCCCCAAGATACTCTGGGTGTTCAAGCATATACGTTTACACACCCTCCTCTTCCATTTAAGCCCTGATCACAGCATTTTTAGCTCCTCTAGACCAGGGCTCCTAGCCTGAGGTCAAGATGAAACTCAGAGATCCTTGCAGCTGCTGAAATTGTGGATAGAATGCTGGCTAGGCAGCTGGCTGTGGTTTTCAGGAAGAAATAATGCATTAAGAGGCACCTGGTCTAGCCCAGCTCCTCAATTTACAGAGGAAACTGAGGCCAGAGAGAGGGATGGTGGTGTCCAGGGTCCACAGCATGGTGGAGGCCCGTCAGGAGAATTCCGGGCTCCTCTAGCCTGCATTCCAAGGAGCCCCATGTTCCCCCACAAGGACAGGGTCAAGGAGGTAGCTCAGAAAGGCAGTTCCATTTGTAGCACATGTGGCATATACAAGGGGCGGAGCCTGGGCTCGTCAGGCCAGGCAAAGTGTTTCTGAGGTTCCCAGACCTCCTTTCAGGATCCTTCTAACTGCCCAGCCTTGCAAGGACCCACTGCCGTCCTGGCGGTCAGTTCCAGGAGGAGGGGTGAAGGGAGACAAGGGCTGGCCTGGGGTCAGCATGAAGGAAGTTGCCCAAGTCCGGCCTCCCCCTCCTCCTGCATTTGTTTGGACCCTGGAGCCTAAGCATCAACATTCTAGGGCTTTCTTAACCTCCAGGTGTTGAGGGCCCTGGGGACAGAGAGGCAGCCAGTGCCTGACTGGGGCCAGCCCTTTGCTTCCACTAGTGGCCTGGCTCCTGGCTTAGAAGGGAGGCTCCTGGAGAAGGAGCTGGGGCAGGCATGAGGAGGTGGGAGGAAAGACTAGTCTGAGCACAGGAAAGGGGAGCAGGCACTGGTGATGGCAGGTGGGAAGGAGCCACAGAGGGTAGGATGCCTTTTGGAAACAGAAAGACCCAGACACAGACAGGGGCAGAAAGGGTGGGGAGGGGTCCCTCCGTCGTCGACAGGGATGGCAAGCCTGGGGTGGGAGGATCCAGGCGGACACTGAGGAATGTGCTCTCAGAGTCCCACTGAGCATATGCAGATGAGGCCTGTCTGTATGCAAATGAGATGTCTATATGCAGATGAGCAAAGAGGGCATTCTCTTCTCAGGGTTACCATAGAGCCCACCCCTACCGCCTTTCCTCAGGCCCCCAGCTGCCGGGCAGCCTGGGAAGAAGCCAGGCCTAGGGAGGGGGGGAGCAACCTGCAATAAAAGGTTAGACTTCAGGGAGAACTTACCAATGGAAAGTGGCCAGTCCTGAGCAGGGAACGGAAGAGGAAATGATGGATATAGAGGGGCTGCTGAGAGACCCAGGCAAAAAAAAAGATGGTGGTGGACTGTGAAAGAACATCTCAGTCACCCAGAAACATGGGCAGATGGCAGGAAACTCTGAGAGGGAGGCAGGAGAAAAAAGAACTTCGACTGAGCCTCCACTTTTTGCCAGGTCCCCCATGGACTGTCTTCCACTCACAGTCTCACTGCTCCTGGTGATAACCCTGTGAGGCCTCCCGCAGATGTGGCCCAGACAGACCAACACCTCTGGGCCACACAGTTTGCAAGTGGCAGGGTGCTGGGCTGTTGGACTCCACAGCAGACAGCCGCAGCCTTTAGGATCTTCCTGGCCTTTCCTGGCCAGCAGCTCCTAACCTGAGGGGAACTGAAGGGCCCTGGGGGCTGGGAGCCTGCACCTGACTGGAGGGGAGGTCTGGCTGGGTCTCAGGCCCACAGAGGGGCTACAGAGGGCTGGGAAGCTCAGTAGGAGGTAGGGTGGGGCTGTGGGGGTAACTGAGTGGGCATGAAGCAGGAGAGGGACAGCGGGGCAGGGAGGGATGCCAGGGATAACACCGTGGGGGAAACTGAGGCCCACAGAGATTGGGAGGGTCACCTTCCTCACTCAGCAGATTGAAGTCCAAGCTGGGCCTGAACCCAAGGCACTGGGCCCCCAGCCCAGGGCCCCCTTCCTGGGAATGCAGAGGCTGGGCATGCGGGGTGTCTTTGAGAATAGCCTCTCCTCTTCCTCCAGTGGCCCCTGGCCCCCCACATCCAATGGTGTAGCCAAGGCCTTTGTGGGGAAGCCGTGGGGAAGAGAGGCCTCTTGTTGGCCCATTCATCATGCTGGAGGCTCGGCCAATGCCAGCCCAGGCACCGGCTGGGCTCTCCATCCTGGGGGTGCCAGCCGGCCCCCACCCACTGCCCCTGCCTGTTCCCCAGCTCTGTCGTTTCCTGGAGCCTCAGGGCTTTGGCCCTGGTCCCGGCTGAAGGATGGCGGGGAGCCCCGGCCCCCGCGCCCCCCGCACCTTGCCTTTCACACGCTGGCACCAGAGCCGTGGGAACGCTGGACGGCAGCTGGGCACCGGTGCCCGGCTCTACCCACCCCCAGCCCGGCCGACCTCGGAGAAGGGAGAGGAACAGGCTGCCCCCAAAAAAGATCCCTCCAGGATGGGGCCCTAGAAATCCTTAGCACTAATTATGAATCTGGGGACAAACAAGGCATTTGCAAGTCAATTAGTGACAGAACTTTCCCAGGAAAGCGCTTCATCCAGGCTCAACTTCAGACAGGGCCACATGCTGGGTCATCTTGTCCCTCCCCCTGCCTCTGCCCTACTCGAAGCTCAGGGACAGAAGCCGCCCAATGTTCTGCCAGCCCCTGTGTGGCAGAGGGTCCCAGAGCCCCGACGGGCATGAGAGGCAGGAGGGCAAGGCTGCACTCTGCTGAGGTCAGTGAGAGGTCACTAGAGGTCTAACACCAGGAGACACTGTTAGGACCCTGGCCTCAGTTCCCCCCTGGGGTAGAACCTGGGGGCTCCTGGACGGAATTGCCAAGGAGACAGCTGGTCCGGACAGGGTGGCACGGATGGGTGGATGGAAAAACAGACGTCACTGTAAAAGGGCCGGGGAGAGGGGCTCCCTGGAGGACACAAGGAAACCAGGTCAAGAAGAGACCAAGGGAAAGGCAAGTGGTCCTAGGCACCTCAGCGCGTGCCCAGGCAAGAGGGAGAGACTTCAGCTACACCCATGGGAACGTCAGGCGGACCGGCCGGCCAGCTGGGGCCCCTTCCCATACAGAGAGCGACAGAACCCATGGGGTGGCTGCTCCCAGGCAGGGAGGCCTTTAGCTGGGAGAGGGGCTCTCTGCTGAGAGGACCCCTTAATTGGGGGAAGAGAGTGAGGGAAGGAGCTGTTTGGGCCTCGCCATCTGAGGGAGATTAAGGGATTATAATTAAAATGTGTTTGAGGGGCTCCAAGCAGGTGGGTTGGGGCTGGTGCTAACGATCTAATTGCTGCCTTTAGCCGGGGCTTCAGCCAGGGCCTGGCTGCGAGGCTTGGTAATGAGTGGGGGTGTTTTTTTCTTCAAGGAGAGTGGGTGAGAAGAGGCGGAGCTGAGGGTCCAGGAGGGGAAGTCTTTCTCTCCACTTTGAACACCTCAGCTCACAGGGTCACGTGCCTGGAGAGGCTCCCCCTACCGCTCTCCCTGAGAAACCAAGGGGAAGGCTGCGGCTCAGTGGTGTTCTGGGCGGCCTGGAGAATGTGGGAGCCAGGAGTGAGTGAAGAAGATGCTTAGGTCACTACAGAGAGGAGACACTGAGACAGGGAATGGTTAGGGTGTCCTTGGAACATTAATGAACATTGATGGCAGATGTGCTCTTCGTCAAGCATTGTACCAAACACTCTATGAATGGATTTCACCCTCACAACCCTGGTGAGGTAGGTCTGCCTCGCAGGGCTAGAGCAGGGCTCAGCTCCCTAGTTAAGCAGAAGTCAGGGGTCCCACTGGCCAGGGGTGGCTCCTTTCTGGGAACGGACAGAGGGATAAACCCTTTCTAGACTCT